GGGGACTCCACTGGATGTATCTAAAGCAGTAGTCGTGAGTGTGTATCAATATGCATGAATTGTTTACGATTATTTAAGTAACTTTTGGATAACATTAAGACTTTACCAGTGATACCGTAATGTTTTAATTTATTTATGAGAACGCCGTGATCAATAGTATCAAAGGCTTTAGATAGGTCTGTAAAAATACCTAAAGTAAATTGTGACTTTTGTGAGTCAGTAATAATTCTTGTGAGTTGAAGTACTGCGTATTCTGTAGAGTTATTTTTTTGAAGTCGTACTGAATGTTGTAAAGTATATTTTCAGAGAAATGATTAAAAATTCGATCAAATAAAATTCTTTCAAGAATTTTGGAAAAAGCTGACAAAACTGAAATTGGACGATACTTCCCAACATTTGTTAGTTCACCACCTTTATATATAGGTGCCGCTTTGCAACCTTCATATAGGCCGGAAAAATTCCTTGACTTATTGAACAATTAAGATCTTTAAATAGAGTATTCTTTATATTATCGTATGGCTTAATAACAATGTTTTCATTTAAGCCATCTGGGCCAATTGCTTTATTGAGCTTAAGCATTTTGAAAGCATTTTCAAATTCTGAAAATGATAGTTTAAAGACACTTAGTCACACAATTCCAAATATGATAAATCCAATCACAATTCATAATTGTTTATTGGATTTATCATATTTGGAATGTTTTTTGAAAGATTAGGTCCAACAGAAATAAAGAATTTATTGAGTTCATTTGCTATTTATTTAGGATCATCTATAATTTTATGATTAATTTTAATAGCTTTAGGTAAAGAACAGGATTTTAAGTTTTGTTTGCCAGTGATTTCACTTATAATTTGCCAAGTGCGTTTTGAATTGAGTTTATGTTTCTTTAGCAAATTGAAATATGTATTTTTTTTTTGGGCGAATTGTTAAAGATATCGGTTGTTAATATGTTATCTATTACGGAAGCTGATGTTTTTGTTACTCTTGTTGGTCTGTTTATTAATGGAATTGCGCTGTTCTGAAACAAACCGTCATAAAACGTTTTTATGTTGTTATTAGTTTGATATTCAAAAAAATTTAGATTTATGTCTCCAATTAAATAGTTAAGTTTTTTTTCCTTTAAACCTTTCCTCAAAATATCATTAAATAAAAATGTATTGAAATTTTCTATTATGCGAGATGGCGGGCGATAAGAGCAACTGGTTTTAATCTCTATTGTTAAGACTTCGCTATTGTTTTTGATTCATTAACCTTCAGTACTCTTGATACAGAATGCAATGCGTTGAGCTGTTTTTTAATTTTTAGTTAAGATTCTCAGACAATTCAATTTAATTGTTCCACTTCTAACAAAATATTTCGTTCAAACATCTATGAATATATCTTGATTTAAAACGCAGAGAAAGTAAAATATTTAAATATTAAGTTGAATGAATTATGTAAAATCTGCCTTAATAATTCTACTGCAAAGTTTTTATATTATCCATTTTGTTTATTTGTAGAGGTATTTCAAGAAGATGAAGATGAGCCAAATATAAATAATATTCCTCTATCATTTATAATTGATAAACGTTGTTTTAATTATATATATATTGCACAATATCTAATAACGATACAAACAACTATAGATCAATACTTTATTAAATAGTGAATTTTATTTGGTAGATGATTTAAGCAATACAATCATAAAAAAATTACCAAAAATGTATAAAATAAAAACTATTTTTTATCATTTGGCTTAAATATATATAACTATAACAATTTTTCTTGTTTTTAAAGTGATTTTAATAAACAAACCTAAAAAATATACATATTTTTTAATTTTTCTAACATATTTAATTTTTCTTAAAACGATATTTTAAAAATTACCAGATAACTATGAAGTCAAGCTGATCAGGCTTAGGTTTTTTTAATAGATAATATGGAAGACACAAACAATACGTTGGTTTAAAATTCTAAACACGATTGGCTTGGCGTAGATATAAGCCAAAAGACATCAAAGTAGGACATACCAATTTAAAACCTCTATTGTTAATTTTTTGCTTCCTTATGCATGTAGTTCTAAGTGAAATAATAGAAGGGTCAGATATTATTAAAAGCATATTCAGAAAATCCATACTTGTCGAAATATGTGACTATTTTTCTCGTATGATGTTCTCAAAATCTCCTACAATCTTTATTTCATGCTTCTTGAGATTCTTCTGAGAGATGGACATTTGGAAGAATACTCGACTTTAAAACTTCTGTACTATGCATTAAAATTTTGCGCACTGTAACAAGCATGTAACATCACAAATATAAATATAAATATAAAGCCCTAGTTTTAGAAAAAAGTTTTCCATATTTGACACAATCAGTATCATACAAGATGGCGTTCTTAATAAAACATTAAATTTTTAAATTAACTTGAATTTAATTTTGTAATCTCTCCGCTCTTGTCTGGATTTAGAAAAAACATGCGAGCAGTGTTACTATTATATATTTTAAATAAACATACTTTAATTTATAACATAATTTGTGTTGCCATAACGAGGTTTCAGTCTGTCTACAATAAGTCTCTTTTTTTTTTTAAACTTTTATCTTTTATTTTCTCTTCAGAAAGCTGTCTGGTTTATCCTCATGAACATTTATCCTCATTGCTTGTAACTTGTCACTTTTTAATGTCCAAACGATAGCTAATGTGTAGCAAGCATTCAAAAGAACGTATACAAACGTGCAAGATAAACAAACCAAAATTTTAATTTTTTTTAATCAGAAATACCTTTTAATTTACCCTTCATCAATTTTAGAGTATATATATAATATTTTTGTGTAGAACGCGTATTGGTAAAAGCATTGCATACTTTTCCGTCTGTCATCGTAAGTGACAGATTGTGTTTCAAAATAAATTTAAATTCACCAACAGTACACAGTGTTGGAAGAAGTTCAGATATTTCTTTCAAAACTTTGTTAGTTTCTATTACAATAAATTCCTGTGTTTCTTTAGAAAATATGAAATTAATTGGTCGGTAATAAAGTGTTGACGATGACCAAGGAGTTTGATGATGGTTTGAAGGATTTTGATGGATTTGAAGGATGACCAGATTTCAATAATACTATTATATATAATACTATTATTTGCCAATAGTATTATATATAATGTGACAAACGCAAACACAAACAGAAACTCATCATTAGCAACAGAGTTCTCAAATCTTTGCTTAAAGGTACTATACCCAAAACTTCCGTCACATCCCCATTTGCTTATTAATGTAAAAGACAAATTAGAGGATGCATTTTGAAAATTGACTTTGTGTTTCAATTTAAACGTTCAATTATTTTAATCAATAAGGCTTGATGTTTAATTTCAGCTCGTGTTTCTGAGACAAAAGTAAATTCTTCTAGAGGGTAACACAACTTTTAAATTTACATAACTTATAGTAAGTTGGAAATACTTCATGCCCTGCTTTCAGTGACCACTTTCTTGTTTGTTTACAAGAGTGACTGATACACTTGGAACCTACATAATAAGCTAGTGCCTCATCGTTACTCAACTGCCTACTACCACAAATAACATCAGTAGATTCTCTTTGCTCTAGTGTTTCTGTGCTATTTCTAATAGAAGTAACTAAATTTCTTTGACCCGACAAACAATATGCTATTTCAGCAGCTGTAGTTAATTCATTGGTTTTCCACGATTTCAATAAGTCTTCAACTATAGGTCTTTTGGTTTTTATAATTGTTTTAAGTTATTTTAAATTCTAAATTATTGTTTAAATTATTTATAAATTTAAAAAATTATTTATTACTCTAGCAAATTTTTTATTTAAAAACTTATCCATAGTTCTATTGGCTGCATTTCACTTTTGCTTGTTATTTTTAATTGTATTTTTTCTTTGGAATCACTAGTAGCATCTTTTGAGTAGCATCTTTTGAGTAGCACTAGTAGCATCTTTTGAGTAGCATCTTTTGAGTAGCACTAGTAGCATCTTTTGAGTCTTCAGAGTAAAGTCACACCTAAGAGAATTTCGTTTTTCTTTTCTTTGTATGTTTTTGCCATTCTTCATATAATTCCAATTTTGTAATAAAGTACTTTTGGTCTGAAAAAAATTAAAAAAAAAATGAAACGGGAAGACGTAGGCACCCAAATTTACATATTTATATTTAGACACCTATGTAAAAAATTAGCCAGGATACATTTGGATAAAATTAGTTACATGCTTTGAAAATGAAAAAATGAAATTGCAGTTTGTACATATTTTTTTTTTAAATCTACAGAATATGATTTATAGCAATTATTTGAATAAAATTTTTATTAAAATACATACTCTCTAAAGTAAAGTTCATCAAAATATGTTTATCTTTAAACTTAAACGCTAATGATTCAACACTTAAAATGCGTGCACTAATAATTACTTGGAATTTTTCTCTAGGGAAAAGTAATCCCATGATATTCAGTAATATTATGGGATTATCTACTAATTGATTCCTTGAATTGACTTTTGTCCAGATAGATTGTATGAATCGATTGACTGTGTGCTGGGGCATTAACGAAAACATATTGCGACTGTTTAAACAGCGACTAATTTTTCTTTAAAATGGCTAGTCAACCCAAAGATTTTACAGGGGATGGAAGTACTTTTGATGGAGGCAATTGGTATACACTGGGTATGTAAAGTGCGTCGTCTCAGTAAAAGCTTAAAAGTTGAATTTTTAAAGACAAAAATTTTAGAGGACCTTTTATAGGTATATAGTAAGTAATATAGTAAGGACCTTTCATAAGTTATAGTAAAAGGCCTCCAAAAACAAAAATAGCCCCGGGCCTCAAGAAGTCTTAATCCGCCACTGATTGTACCGCGCTAAACAAGACCCCATGGCATTTAAGAGGTGAATGCAGTTCACCTCTTTAATGCTGCTCTAAATGTAGTTTTCTTATTTTTAAAAATATTAACAAATTATTAAGAACTACAATTAGATATTCATAATCGTCATGATTAAAAAGAAAAAATAAAACAGGGCGCCATCAAGATATTAACTTATAAATGTGGTTGATCGAGTCAACTATAAACAAGTGCTTCACTGCTGTTGTTATGGATGCATATATTCCAGAGAACGATTTTAATGATCAATTAACAATGACGTCTATGTCAATTTCAGCACCTGAAAGTTTGAAGTAATTAAATTAAAAGCTTAAATATATAAGTTAAATTCTTTAAACTACTTTGCTAAAAAAATGGATAGGAAATTTCTCCTAAATAATTTTAAAATATCCATGTTTATAAAATTTTAATATGTGTGAAATATTTTCAACACTTCGTTTTTCAGTTTAAAATTTAAAAAAATTATTTTAAAATAGTTATTCATTTAAAACAAAGTTACTTAAAATAATCTTTTAAAATTTTGTAGGAAGTTTAACAGTGATGGGAAAGAAATTTTGCAAATTCTATTTCAAATAATTTAGGTTACGGTTAAGTCACCACTGACCATTGCTCTTAAACGTTATCAAGTTAGTTTAACGTTTAGTGATTCACTTATATGCAATATCATATTTAATGCACTATCAAATATCAACTATTAATAGATATTTAAAGTTAAGTATAGCTAGAGTAAAGCTAGAAGTTAATAGTATTAACTTCTAGCTTTATTCAATGCTTTAAATCTTTTAAGCAAAATTTTTTTTTTTAATCTTAAACTTAATCGTTTTTTGACTATTAAAAATGTTCAATTAAATGAAGGAGTAGTTGTAGAATACAAAAATTATGCGTAATTGTTTTAGGTAACAATGTTTTTATATATAAATTGAGTTATTTAAAAATAAGACATTTAGGATGCCAAATTTAAACATTTGATAAAGCAATTCATTTAAAAAATAATGGGAATTTATTATGCTAAAATTTTGTAAATACAGTGATTATCATTACAGTAAAAAGGTAAGAAAATATATGGGTTTCAGATTTTTCTTTATGTGTGAGTGATAAAACCAATTCATGAGACCCATGTATTCTTTCTCCTAATGGAGGTTAGAAAATGTAAAAAATTTTAAAAACACTTACACTGTCATGAAGCTTGTGTAAAAATTATTTATAGCTACTAACTAATTAGTTAAATAATAAATAAAATTAAAAACTTATTTATAAAGTTATTAAAACATTTTACAAATACATTACTCTTTTCTTACCTGAGAGTTGTATTTTATTTTTAGATATGCAAATAAGGATTACTATCCCAAATCATATTTTGAAAATAATGAGCAAGAAAAGCATATGCTATCATGTTGTGAGAACTTCCAGAGGCAATACTGTCAACTTTATCCTGATCGAAAACTTTTGTTGCTAGCACCTAAGAACGAGTTTGGAGTAGAGGTATTTACTTGCTACTCTGTCTTGTTTAAAGGCTACTGCTTGATTTTTAGTTTTTTTTAGATTTTTAGTATAATTTAGTAATGTTTATATACAATTTAAATTTTTATTGATATAATTTTAGTGACAAGTTTATTGTTTGTATTTTTTCATTCTTAAAATACTTTTTTTTTTGTAGAAATTTATTTGTTCAACAATACGTCCCACTCTTGTAAAGCATCTAGAAATGTACAGCTTTATTGGTTGCTCCAGATTTGTTGCTGATTATTTAACTTTTAAGCCATTAGACTCACCTATTAATTTGGTAACTTTGTAAAAACATAATTTATTACTAATTTCAACACTGTTTTATACTGATAATTGCATTACTGTTACTTGACAAACTGCTATCCTTTTTGCTTAAAAATAAAACTTCCTCAACTTAAAATTAAACCTTATTTTTCCACATTTTTATTTATTAACAGTTTAACAAATAGTAATATTCATTTAACAAATATAATAAGATTTTTTTTTTCAAATAGTACCAAAGTCGTCAACAAAAAACTAGTTCAGAACCAGTTTAGAAAAATAGAGGATAATTGTTTACTCACATATATTTTTTAATGTTATACTAATTTTAATTTTTATTCAGGACATATTGATAGCAGTTTTTTTATATAACTGAAATGCATATCCTGTTAAAATATTAATTTAAATTAAAAAAAAAAAAATAAAACTAGTTCAGAACCAGTTTAGAAAAATAGATAGTGGTTTGACACAGTTTTACATTTTTACTTTGGATATATGTATATTATATGATGTTTAATTATATATAACAAAATACTAAAGTGATGCTAAAAAATTAATAAATAAAAAGTAATAATAATAATAGTGTAAATAAAAAGTAATAGTAATAATAACAAGTAAAAAACAAACAAACAAACAAAAAAAAAACAATAAAAATAATTGTAATAATTATTAGCAAGTGATTGATATGTCACTTAAATAAAAATATGATCAAAAAAGAGACACCAAGTTTTTCTTTTTAATAAAATAATTTAAGAAAAATCTCTTTAAACATCTCTTTATTAAATAATCTATACTATTTGTTGTATATTATTTGTATATATTGTTGTATATATTTCTATTTTTATATATATTTGTTGTTATATTTCATATTGCCTGATTTTTATGTTTAGCACTATAAACTTCACCTGCGTTCACATGTAAATTCCTTCATGTAGATATAATACCCAAATGTAATTATTTGTGTTCTAAACATTAATGATGTCTAGAAAAAGTTATACAATTGCTAATAATGACCAAAGAGAATTGTTTGTTTAGCAATTGTTAAAAAAAGGAACTAATCAGATTCTTGAACTTTAAACTGGGTTTTAATAAATAGTGGAATAAATAGCAAATAGTATATTTACTGACAGTTTTATAAGGATCTAATACTATTCATTAAATTAACACAGGCGACAACTGAAAAGTGAGGCTGGATTTAAAGGCATATATCTGTTTTAAAGTATAAGATAAAACAAAAAAGGAAAATTTATTCTAGTTTTCATCTAGATAATCAGTCATTTTTAATTAAAACCATTCCAACTGACATAGATTGAACTAAACTCCATATGAGCTCAATATTAACTTTGTTAAGGCAGTACTTGATTCTAGAAAGTAATTTTTTAAGAATTTCTGCATGCTAATTATTTTTGTAGACAAGGCCTTTCAAAATACTTCAAAAATTTTTGATAGGAAAACATTCTAGCAAGTTTTCAGTGTTATCCGCTTTCTCAACAAAATACATAATTTTCTTGTTTAGGTATGTGGTACAATTTTGAAAGCGGTAAAAAAAAATGATTACAATTACATATAGGAGCTGCACAAGAAAGTGAAAAACAAGGAGTAGAATGAAGCTTGTATTGAACCAATGAGATGGAATAAAAGCTTTCATTCCTGCCTGTATCAGGGAGGTTATGTAGGAGGCGCATTTATCACTGGAGAGAGTAAAAATATCATCCTAAGAACTTTTACAAAGAAAATCACAAAAATTATCCCAGTCAGCTTTATGGTAGTAGCATGTTGTGCCATGATAGGTTGCGTCCAAAGAAGAAGTACAAGATGAAAGATTTATAGAGATCATTGTTTGGTGAACTGAACACAAGCTAGGGTCAGAGATGAGACACAAATCAAGGAGTGAAGGTTAGGGTTGTCAGGAAAATGAGTCACAAAGTTAACTATCTAAATAAGAGATTGAGAAATGCAAAAGTTATAGGCTTTAGTACCAGCACAGTCAGTGGTGTTAGAGCCAAGCCATTTAGTATGATGAGCGTTAAAGTCACCAATAACATCATTATTGGCAGAGAGGTAAAGAGAAAAGGTATGGCCAATTTAATCAGAACTTGCATCTAAAAGAATGCAGTCTTGAGAAGAAGGTGAACAATAAAGAACAAAAAAAAAGGTGATAGAGTGAAGATGTGCTTAGCAGAATCATATAAAGAATGGTCAAAGGGTTCAAATCTGATTACTCAACAAATATGTGAATTGATGCGCAAGTATACCCCAAAGCCAAGCATGTGACTATTGGGGTCTTTATGAATCAAAGGATAGTACCCTTCAATACTGGAATCTGAAGAAGGAAAAGCCAAATTTAAATTATTCTTACAAAGAGCAAGCAAGTCTAGTGATTTTTGCAAGAGGTAAGGTTCAACTGATAGACGGTTACTTCAAAGACCACGAATTCTTGTGATAGATATATTGAAACAGGTGATGCGAATAGTTTTTTATGTTTAATATTTTTGGTTACTTTTGGCAGGGTTTAAGTTTAAAGAGAACTTGATTCTTTCATAGGTAGAGTACAGCATCCCAAGCAATGAACTATGCAGTTGTCTCAGTCCTGCTTATTGAAAATTAAAGTCATAACTTAGTGCTCATATGTGGCCTCGACAATACACACCAAAAGCTTCAACAGGCCCACCATCCATCCGCAGCACAGCCCTGTTAGCACTCTGACATTTTGCAGCTGTTGATGGAATCAGCCTCTCTGAAAGCTACCACAGAGTTTGGGAAACCTTACTACCAGCTAGCGTCAGAACCTTTAAACTGAGTTGTAGAGGTGTATCCTGATCAGAAGTAACAGAAAGAGTTGTGTAGCCACTATCAAGGAGGTACAAGCAAAAATCTATGATTAGAGTCAAAAATCCAGCATTCATCATCCTAGGCAGGAAACACTGTAACACAGATTTACATCTTCATTAGCTTTATAGATGAAGAAGGGGTTAGACACTGGTTAACAGAATTATTCTGTTTACCCTTAAAGTCTTTGCCTAGGAGGCCTTCTAGAAGATAGGTAGCTGGATGCAGTTAACATCTGCCTAAAATGAGTATTTTTATCAAAACACCGTATCTAGCCTTTTCTCAACAACCCAAGACAGGGAAATTTTAGTTGGATGCAGTTAACATCTGTCCAAGATGAATATTTTTATTGAGACACCATCTCTAGCCTTCAACCAAGAGCAGGGGAATACTTTTTTTCAATGTTCTTCTAACAAATTATTTGCTTACATTTCAATTAGAAAAAGATTGATTGAATATTTGAGCTAGGTTTTGTTGCTGAGCCTAGGATTTTTTCTACTGGGTCTCAATATGATACTTTTTTCATGGTCACTAAGCTTCAGTGGTCTTCCAGAACAAGGCATGTCAATGACGTTACCATTAACTCCCAGTTTTCACTGTTTCTTGCACGCAAAATTCAGAAACACCCATAAGTTTACTAATTTCAACCTTGTTATGATTCTTTGATTTAACCAGTCCAATAATTTTCCAATTTGATGCTCTCTGACCCATTTGCAAACGAATTGAAATTTAAAATATTGCAGTTATTCTTTAGATAATTTTTTGCAATTAAAATATTTTTTTGTAATTTTAAAATTATTTTTTTATTTAAGAATCATGAGTACTCTTTATATTTATAATTTATAGCAGTAATTAAGATAACAATTTGTTATCGAGTGTGAAAAGTGTATGTTTAACTCAATTCAACTTTTATGTCATCAGTAAAATACGTTTAATTAGTTTTACGGAAGTAGTGTAGTATGAATATTTTTTGTCTATTTTATTGAAACAAACATAAATAGCCAAACAAAAAAAACAATAAGATTAAAATCTATATCGATAAACTTTTTTATATAAAGTAACAACTTACGATTGTTTAAAAAGGAAACAAATTTCTTTATTCACAAAGTTTGCAAGTTTTAGTTTTATTTAAGCTAAATTATTTTATAAATAAAAAAGTTTATTTTTTTAATACCTATTTTATGTTTCGCGTAGTTTGTTCATATTTCATAGAAGCAATTCTTCTATGAAATATGAACAAATGAAATAGTTAAATCATTGAATTACTATAGAAATTAAATTAACAAAATAGAAATCAACTAAAAAGGTTAAAAATACTTAATGACGAGGAAGCGAAACTGCTTCACAATATCGCTGATGATGTTTAGTGAGTGGGCTTTTTAGTTTTAATTAGTATTCAAAGCAGAAAAAAGTATAACGAGTTTTAAGAATGGTAACTTAAGCGAAAATAATTAGAGTCAGTAAACCAATATCTAGAAACTTTTCTTTGTATCTAGTTATTTGCTATAAATATTTGTGTTCTGTCATACGCGGTGCTTGTTCATCCGCGAGTTACTTCATATGCATTGTTTGTGTTTAGTAACCAGAAACTTCTTATATGTTTGTTACATAATTAATTTTATTAATTTGGACGATTATAACTTCATTGAAAACGCAAATATTTGTGTAAGTCTTTGTTTAAATCATAATAATTGCTTTAAAAGATACATTAGATAAAAAACAGATACACACAATTACATTTACATAAAGAATACATACTTTTTAAATAAAAAATAAGAATATACTAATAAAATCTATAATTTATATTAAACTTTTAAAATTTTGACAATTTAATTAATATATATTTAAAACATTTATTTTTGTAAACAAATAATATATATTCTTAAAACAATTTATGCTAGAAATCTCAAAACGTAACAAATTGTACATTATACAATAATATATATTAATACAATTTCTAAAACATTTCAACAGAATACTCTAAAACTTTATTTCGCTTAGTCAGCGTATTTTTTGAACCAATAAAATTACTTTGTTCGTTAATTTGGCGGGTTTTTAGTGTTCGCGAATATTCTTTTTATTCTTTCATACATGTATATTTATATATATGTGTGTGTGTATATTTATATATATATATCATAGATGAGTTTTTCTGGAATTCCGGAAATTCACTTAAAACACCTTTAATTTTTCCAGAAATTTCCGGATGTTTTTTGATATTAATTTGAAAAAAAGTTGATATATTTTTACGTAAAATTTTACATATGACAATTTTTGCATTTAAACAAATATATTTTTTTCCGGGATTTTCATAAAGTCAAATACTCAAATACTATGATATATAAATATATATATATATATATATATATATATATATATATATATATATATATACATATATATATGTATATATATATATATATATATATATATATATATATATATATATATATATATATATATATATATATATATATATATATATATATATATATATATATATATATATATATATATATATATATATATATATATATATATATATATATGTATATATATATATATATATATATATATATATATATATATATATATATATATATATATATATATACATATATATATATATTCATTCCTAGTTCATTCCGGTTTCAGGTCGGAATTAAATTATTACAGGCCAGAATGGTGGAATTTATTTTTTCCCTTTATTTTTTAAGACATGTGACACATGACTGTGTAAATTAAACCGTAATACATTTTCCATCTGGGCAATGAAGAACTACAGGTAAACTTAGGTAAAAAATACAAATTTCTAAACGAACCGAATGTAATGTGTGAAAATTCACAGTAGTTAAAACATTTGCGACTTCCTGTAATTTAATTTTTGGTATAAATTGAAGTTTTATTAATTTGATCATTCATTTCTGATGAGTCTTTGTTGATGAAACGCAGTGTAAAATGAAAAAAAATTTCGTTAAGTGATTTTCTACTAATTTATTATTGCTCTGTTCTTTTAAGAACATTGAGCACTCTATTTTGTAGAATATATTTTTTTAAAAATTGTTTAAATATATATTAGGCTCTTTATTAACATTTGTTGAGCACTCTTAATTGTATTTTTACATTCCGTGTAAATATAGAAACTAATAATTTCACTTACTCGTTGAAAAATATACCTATACTAGATGAAAAAAGTTATACTGTTTCTTTGATTGAAAAAGTTGAGCATTTTATTAAACAAATTCGTTGGAAAGCCCATTTTTTCTTAAAACCAAATATAAACACAGATGATGTATTTAATAATAACCAAGATAATGATAATTATGGATTTAAAACAAAAAACACCCCACCTTTTATACCTGATTTAGAGAATTTTGAAAATGACTTATTGCATTTAATTAAAACAATAAAGTTTCGCCCTATAAAAAATAAATTTCAAACAGAATTAAAGTTAGATGTTAAAAAAATAAAATCAAACCCAAATGTTTTGGTTTTTGCTGATAAAACAAATAACATTTACCAACTCACAACAGAAAACTATGAAAAAATTTTACGCAACAATATTACTAGTTCTTATGAGAAAGCCCCTAAAAATTTGGAAAACGCAATTAATTTAGAAGCCCAAAGTATTGCTAAAAAAATAAACCTTGATAACAGAATCGAATATACTGCCCCTGCCCAAGCCTTTGTAACACTAAAAGACCATAAACCAAACTTTCAAAACAAATTTCCTTGTAGGTTATTGGTTCCCTCAAAAAGTGAGATTGGACATGTAAGCAAAATTAAATTGGACAAAATTAATAAAATTCTTAGAAATAAATTAAATTTGCAACAGTGGAAAAGTACCACTGATGTTATAAATTGGTTCTCCAGAATCAAAAATAAAGATGACTATACACTTATTCAATTTGACATTAATGATTTTTACCCTTCAATAACTGCAGATATTTTAAATAAAACAATCCAATTTGCAAAAAGCCACACAGTTATTCCTGAAGAAACAATCCGTATAATAAAACATTGTAGAAAAACCTTACTTTACTTTAGTAAGGAAACTTGGAAAAAGAAAAACATACATGACTGCTTTGATGTGACAATGGGCAGTTATGACAGAGCAGAAATTTGTGAGTTTGTTGGACTATACATTTTAGATTTATTAAGTAAAATAATCAATATAAATGATTTAGGCCTTTATCGCGATGATGGTTTAATAGTAATACGTAAAAAATCTGGTCCACAGCTCGATAAGATTCAAAAAGATATTATAAAAATTTTTAAAAATATTGGCTTTCAAATTGAAATAAACATAAATTTAAAAATTGTGAACTTTCTTGATGTCACATTTAACCTCTCTGAAAATTTATATAAGCCTTTTAAAAAACCAAACGATGAATTATTGTATATTAATATTAACTCAAATCATCCACCACAAATTCTAAAACAAATCCCGATTTCAATTAATAACTGGTTAAACCAAAACTCCTCTAATGAAAATGTATTTAATTCCTCCAAAAGAATATTTGAAGATGCCCTTAAAAAAAGTATTTTGGAAAATTTTGAACTAAAATTTGACCCTGATAAAAAGAATACAAAAAAACGGAACAGAACTAGAAATGTAATTTGGTTCAACCCCCCATATAGCAAAAATGTTTCCACTAACATAGCAAAAGTGTTTTTAAAGTTGGTCGATAAGCATTTCCTCCCTCTAATAAATTACATAAAATTTTTAATTGAAATACAATTAAAGTTAGCTACAGTTGCACAAAAAATATGGAAAGAATTATAAAAAATCTCAATAATGCTTTGTTAAATAAAAAAGAAATCCTAAATGAAAAAACTACAGAAAATTGTAATTGTAAACAAAAAAACAATTGTCTAATGAGTGGAAGTTGTTTATCAAAAAATGTGGTATATAAATGTGTTGTTTCCTCTAAGAATGTACCCGATAAACAATATATTGGCATAACAGAGGGTGAATGGAAAAAACGTTTTGCCAATCATAAGCAATCTTTTAAAAATAAAAAGTATTCAAAAGACACCATGCTGTCAAAAGACACCATGCTGTGAATTGATTTCTAAATGCAGGCACGAAAATAAGTTTCTCCTAAAAAACTATAAAAATAAGTGAGCTCAAATAATAGTTACATTAAATCCCCCCTTTTTTAAAAATATTTTTATAAAAAAAAAAAAAAAAAAGCATAAGTAATCATTTCTAAAGAATTCTTTTTATAATAGTGTCAGCAAATTCCACAAATGTGTGAAAATTTACAGTAGTTAAAACAATTGCGACTTCCTGTAATTTAATTTTTTGGTATAAATTGAAGTTTTATTAATTTGATCATTCATTTCTGATGAGTCTTTGTTGATGAAACACAGTGTAAAATGAAAAAAAATTTTGTTAAGTGATTTTCTATATATATATATATATATATATATATATATATATATATATATATATATATATATATATATATATATATATATATATATATATATATATATATGAATAGCCTTCAGTTGTATCATCACCAACAACAACTTTGAAACTACAAAAAGGTACTTGTTTTGACTATGCAATCCTGTTGTGTTCTTTATTGATTGGTTCTGGCTATGATGCTTATTGTGTTAGTGGATATGCAACTAAAGAAGTTACTTTGATGGATGAATCACTGAAAGATTGCCCATTTTTATTAAAAAAAGATGAGGTAAAGTTCAATTTTCCATGTGTTTTTTGAAATAATTTTTTAATAGAAATTTTTTATTGGAATTTTATAAAAAAGTTTGATGAAAGTTACGAGAAACTGGTTTATTATTTTTAGTTTCCAACAAAATTTACAAGTTTACAATTAATATTTAGTTTCATATCGAATCTGAATTTGATTTAAAGTTTAATATTGTAAATTTTGTTGAAATACTTTTTATTTTACTTTTTGAAAAATAGTTATGCTGAAAGGTATATTTAATTGAAAAATGGGTTTACTTTATAGATAAAAGAAATAAATCAAAAGGAAATTTTAAATAAATATGCAGTGAAACCACCTAAATGTCTTGTTAGTCAGTTTGAAACTCAAATGGAAGCCAAGAGAATTGCAAGGATACAGGAAGAGGATTATAAAAGAAAGGAAGAGGAAAAGCATAAAATACTGGTAGTTACGTCATATATTCTACAGAGGCCTGTTGAATATCATGTTATTGTATAATATATATCATAAGTTATTATTAATTTTGATTTATCATAATTAAAAAGTTAAAGTTATTATCATAAGTTATAATTAGTCATTCAGATTAAAGTGTTTAAAAAAGTTAATAAAAGTTGATTTAATACATTTTGTACTGAAATGTTGATTATCTAATTTTAATAGTAAGAAAATGTATAATTTATTAGTTTTTAATAAAATAGTCACTGCGAAATCCAACACAGAAAGATAATTTGTATGGTTTACGTGTACATTGTTGGGTACTGGTACTCTCTGGTAAAAGAGAAGTTCCTGAAAACTTTTTTATTGAAACTTTAACAGGAATAAGCAAACCTGTTGATCATTATGAATACTTAGGTATTGAAAATATTTGGAACCACAGAAATGTTTGGATTAATATGCAAGATTGCTCTGAAGGCATTAAAGTAACTTTTAATTTTGAATATTTAGGATTATTATATGTGTGTGTGTTTATCACTTTTATATAACTATACTTATCCATCATTTTTTTGGAACTTTTTGTTTAAATTAAGAATTTTAGAGTTTTTTGATATTTAATTAATTTTGATATTGAGATATTTAGTTTTAGAGTTTTAATTTTAGATATTTAATTTTAGAGTTTTTTTTAGAATATTAGAGTTTTCATTAATTTATTGAGATAATTAATGAAAATTCTAAAAAATAACTTATTTAGAATGATTTTTTTGTTTTTGTTTAGAAAATTTCATATGATTTGGGTGATCCCATAAAGTGGGAATTTATGTTTCCAAACAAAGACAAACCTTTTGTTATTTTACCTAATTTACTAGATGCTAATGAAGAAGAAGTAGTTTGCTGTTTTTTACTTATGTTGGTTCTGTTTAAAAATAATGCAACATTTTTTTTACATTTTTTTAGTTTTTTATAAAAGGGAGATGTTTTTAGATTTTTGGCATAGGTCTTTTTTTTATTGAGGTAAACTTATCACCTCCTCGAGCCTTTAGTGGCGGCTATAACAGTCAGTATGACAGTCAATAAGGCTACTCTCTTTCTTTTTAATTTTATTTTTAATTTTCTCTCTCTCAGCTCTAAACTCAAAAACACAAGTTTAGTTAGGAATATGTATAGATACTACTAAAAAATGAAAATATTTAATAAAATTGTAAAGTATGTTTTATGTTGCAACACAATTAAAACTTATATGCTTTTAAAACATGTTTAATAACTAAAATTTCTGCCAACTGTTATAAAATAGTAAATAAACTATTACAAAACACTTGAGATAAAATATTATCAAAATGTTTGTGACAGAATAACTTAAAATTATGTTTACTTAGTTGTACTGTGTATTTTGGATTTGAAATTTTATTGATTTGTTTGTGATGTAAGGTATGTTCTATGGGCAGTACTATTTGACTTGCAGGACATTATTTTTTATTTCTTTAATAACATTGTTAGTGTTTGAAAAACCATATCATTAAATATAGTAAAATGAATTTTTATTTTAAGCTCTTAACAAATGTTACATATAATGGTCTTAACAAATGTTATATATAAAGCTCTTAACAAATAATAACAAAAACTTAAAATCCTAAAATGTAACAAAAAATGTCAGTTTTAGCCTTTAATTTGGCAATAATTTTTAAACAGAATTTATTTGTTGCATAACTTTAGAAATTGCATATGACAGTGATACCTTTCTAAGTTCTTTTACATTGATCTTAGGAAGATGTCTATGATGATATTGTGAACATTCCTCCTTCATGGGTAAGCAAAATTGAAGTGTCTAAAAAAGGTACTGTTCACATCATTTTTTTATTTTAATTTATAAGGATGATTTTTTTTTAAATAAGAGTTTTTAAAAAAAGAAAAAATTATAGTTACTATATTAAAAGGCTATTATTGTGCTTTAGATTTTCAAACAAGCTGTTCTGGAAAGAAGACAATCCTTTACAAAAATGCTAAGCTTGATAAATTTTGTGAATACTATAATAAAGATGGACTTATTTCAAAAATATCGGTCTTAGATGATGTTGAGGGTAAGTTGCTGGGAAGGATTATGAACAGTAATAACTTGTATAGATTTAATAACAATAAGATTTTTATTAATACTTGCTTGAATTTAAATTTTATTAAAAAAGTGGAAAATTTAAGAATATTGTTCTTTTTACACTTGTTCACATTTTTTAAATCCTTTTTTAGAGGTCTGAAGTTCAAATCTCTACTAACATAGAGTGGATTTGAACTTCAAACTTCTCTTAATTTTGAGCTGGAATTTTATCATTAGTCTACTGCTGCATATCTGACTCATTCATTCATCAGATAGTTTTGTTCATTTATTGATTTCAATCAAAGCTTCACTCATTAACAAGTTAGCTTTACTCATTCATTCATCAGTTAGCTTTAATAAAGCATCTGTTGTTTTACTAAGCATAAAAGTTTAATAAAACATTTGTATGATAGTAAATTTGTATGATAGTAAATGTCTTTTTATGCCATTATGCACATATATATAGCAGCCAAAAAACAAAAAATAATAGTTAATAAATAGTTATTTGACTTTTCTATTTTCAAATTATTAAACTAAAACTACTAATTTAGTTGCAATATGTCAAATAACAGCAATATTACTTAAATTGTTTTGTGTCATAGTTTAGGTTTTAAAAGATCAACATCATGTAAACATTGAAATTCTTATATATTTTTTATTTGCTAACAATATCTTTAAACTTTTACTTTAGTATTTAATTTTTTAACATTTAATATTTTTTATTATTTCATTTTATAAAGTTCTGAAGCATTTTTGTTTATTGACAATTTTATTATTAAATATGTTTTCAACTTTTTTAAAAAGTTTTTTTTATAATTTTTGAACTTAATAATATTCCATAAGATAAAAAATATTTGGTGTTGTTCATCCATTAATGCTGTTCATTCACTGATGGTGTTCAACAACTGATGCTATTTATTTAATGATGTGGTGATACTTATCTTGGGTGTTAAAGTAACATTTTGGGTGTTAGAGTAACAATCTTATATGTTAAAGTAACAATTTTGGGTGTTATGGGTTTTGGGTGTATGTTGTGCATTGATCATTGAAGAATATGTATATATATTTTGAGGTTCTATGTTAATGTTTTTTGAGGTTAATGCAGCCCTTGTGCAGTGGTTAAATTCTGGCTCAGAATCAAGAGATCCTAGGTTCGAGGCTCTAGCCCAATAAGGGACATTGGTAAGGATGGAGGCATGAATTTACTAATTAAAGACCGTACGGACTTCTGGGAGTACTTTAATAACCACAAAAAAAAAGTATTTATGGTTGTAACTTCTTTAGCATCATTCAATAGGTTGTTAAAAATCATTTCTGTTGTTGTAATTTATTTAGCATCATTCAATAAATAGTCAAAACTTTTATTAAAATGACATGCTTTAAAAAATCTATTAAGTCTATTTAAACAAACATCAAAAAATTTTGGTTTACCATATGAAACTTATGAGTTTTTGTGTCATCATTAGATTTTATACATTTTTCACACTTATGATAATAGAAAAACTATTTGACTTTATGATTTAGAAGTGTTATTTGCTTTTAAAAACTATATAAAATTATGTTGGCTGTTGTGATATTGCTACCATTATTGGCTAAAACAAAGTAGCTAAAACAAAGTATACAAACTTTATTAATTTTTCTATTACTTGCATAATATCTTTAAAGATTATATTTTTATATTAAATCGTAATTGGTGTTATGTTCATTCTACATTAAATCGTAATTGGTGTTATGTTTATTCTACATTAAACAGATACTATTGTTGAAGTACAAGAGATTTTTAAACACAGAAATGACAGACTTGAGAAGCGAATTCGTAATACAAAGACTGGTTGGATAAATGATCAATTTGCTCCAGGTCACAATTATGGACTAAAGGGTAAGATTTGTTTGTATTCTGTAAGGAACTATTGATTAATTTAAAAAAAACTTAATGTCACTAGTAGGTAAGCCCACAAATCACAGGAAGAGTTAGTGTTTTAAATTAGCTAAATTACATTTTAAATTTATTCTTTCTGGAATATAGCTACTACATAAATACTTCATAACCCGCACATAGCCCGATATATTGATACTGTATGACTTATCCATCTACTATATATAAAATGTATATAATATTTATTATTTCTTTGAACATTAATTAATAGATTTATTATATTTTAAATAAATTTTAATCACTAAATTACACTAGCTAACACTTTTAAATTTATATAACTTTTAAAATCATTGTTAAAAATATTATTCTTGTTTAAAACATTAATTTTTTTTTTTTTTTTTTTTTTTTTATTTTAATTCACCTCCTCAAGGCCGAGAAGGCCACTACAGACAAGGAGGCTACTTATTTGTGGTTATAACCCTCTCTCAACTCTATAACTCCGAAACACGAACCTTGACGAGCAAGGCCGCTGCGCGGAGAAACGAGTTAAGCGCGGTACTACCAGGGACGTGGTGGGGATCGAACTCGGAACCACTCGTTTATGAAGCGAGCACTCTACCACTACACCACTACCGCATGCGAGCGCTCTACCACTACACCACTACCACTACACCACTACCGCTCTACCACTACACCACTAATTGCAATTAAAAGTAGTAGGATAGCCCATACAATCACAAGAAAAGTTAAAAAACATTTTTTATTAGTTTTAATTATTTTTTTATTTATAAATATACATTTAAACTTCATTAAAAATTATTTTTATGTTGTTCTTTTTTTTATATTTAAGTAGCTTCATTTTTGTGTTTAAAAAGTGCAAAAATACTATATGCCAATATGAATTATGTCATATGTAATACAATGGATTATGCTGATTTTTTTTTTTTTCTGGCTATATAGAACATTTTTATAAAGGAGATCGACATCATATCATGACATTTTATGAAAGGTAAAGTTAATATTAAATGGAATAAAGTTAAGATATTTTGAAGTATTATCTTATTTGAAATTGGAGTTCTTTTTTTTTAGTTCACGGGTTGATGGTTTAGTTAAGCGAGAACAAAATGAAAAAGAAATTGTAGAGTTTTTCAAAAACAGAGATGACTATTTAACAATAAGGCAGGCTTATTATGATGAAGACGTAAAAAAGTTCTTACCACAAGGAAATAATGGCATGTCAATAAAGGTATTTTTGCAAATTTCAAGTTTTACTAACATTTTTTTTCACTTTAAGTAAATTTTTGCTTATTTGTAAAGAAAATGGTTGAAAAATATGATCATCAAAGAGATAAAAAAGAATCCATTGCTGAAAAATCATTTTTAGTTAGTGAAGAGAGAATTATGATAAAATATCATTTACAAGATAATCGAATTACAGCTTCTTATAGAGAGTTTATGAAACCACCTGGTTTCTTGATTGAAAAATTGCATCAAATGAAGTTTTCAAAAGATATGACCAGTGCTTATCTGGTATGATTTTTTGTTTTTTTTTGTTTTTTTGTTTTATCCTTTACAAGAGTGATAACACAACTATATAGGGAATTTGTATGTGATATTGTTCAGAATATGTTTTTATTAAGGTTGATGCTACTGAAGAACCAATTAAAGAACTTCCAGTTTACAATTTATTTACTCAGTTGTTGTTAGATGAAAAGTCTTGTGAAGATAAAATTCGTGAGTCAGAAGCAGAGGTCTTTATTTCTATTTTATACCTATATAAATCTTATCAATGTTTTTATGAAGAGATTTTTATGCAAATTCTTTTATAAAAGCAAGTGAATAAACATCTTTTCAGTGTATTAAAAAATTTGTAAATAAATACATAATTAAATATAAAATATATTTATATAACAATATTTTGCTACAACAAAGAGGTGTTCTGTCACACTGATAATCATTTGCTTTTAATGAATGTTTTTTTTTTTCTTTCTGTGCAGTCAATGTTAAATATTGTTTCAAGAAAAAACTTGCATGTGAATAATTCTCATTTTTTAAAAGTTTTTGAAAAGCTGTTGATATAAAGTTTACCTTGTATATTGATGTAATGATACAACTTTTTTTTTTAGACAATTTTTTTGATATTTGAAGATAAAACTAGATAAAGAATAGTATTTTGAAAAAAGTTTGATAAAAAAAAGATTTTTTTGAAAAGTATCTAGAGCAGGTTCAACTACATTTGAAATATTAGATTAGTAGGAAGAGGTATAAATTAAAAATAGGGATCTCTACTAATATGCCAATTCTTCACAACAATTTTATTGGTATCTCTCCCAATATCTCAATACGGAGTCATTATAGGAAATACATCTCTAGTAAATAATATATTGATATCTTTCTCAGCATAACATCTTAACACAAAGGTTTGTGCTAAAGCTAGCAGTTCTCAACACAAAGGTTTGTGCTAAAGCTAGCAGTTCTCAACACAGGGGTTTGTGCTAGCAGTTCTTTAGAAAGAATAATTGGAAGTAAGATAAATAATAAAGTTATTAGAAAGATCATTAATATAGATGAAAAATACAGAATTGGAATGTTGTCCACAAGCTGTAGATGAGTTTATGTGAGAAATAACTTTGGCATTGGTAACTTTGGCATTGGTAGATTTGGATTTCTAACAAAGGATTAACCTGTTTATCTAAGATGATAGAAGATATGTGGTCAAGTGATTAATTTAAAAAAACGTTTTATCTTTGAGAAAGGTAATAGGATTAGATCTATGTACGTGAAATGGAATGTATAATTTATCTTTGTAAATGACTTAAACAATTTTCTTCTTCTGAGATACACAATTTAACTTCTAAGAGCTTTAGTAATCTGAAAATAATGGAGCATCAGAAAATTTTTTTGGCTTTGATTTCTTGCAGTAAGAAAAAAAATGCTTATTCTCAAGAGATTTTCTTGTTAAAAAGATAAAAGAAATGATTATATTTCAAAATAGCTGCCGCACAAAAAGAAAAACTTGGGGTAGAGTATGACTTGAAGTGAAAACCACAAGAAGGAATAAAAGTTTCCATCCCTGCTTGAACTTAGGAGATTATAAATGAGGGGTAATTTTCGCCAGAGAAATAAAAGGCATAAGTCCTTGAACCATTACAAATAAAATCACAAAAAGAATCCTAAATAGCTGTAGTAGTAAGATGTGCAATGATAAGATGAATCTTATGTAGAAGATGTAAGATGATTTTAACCACCTAAAAGTGAACATAGAAAAAAAAATAAGCACATGTTCAAGTAAGAAATAAAACACAAATCAAGGAGCACAGGTAAGTGATTAAGGTTGTTTTGAAAATGAGTCACAATGCTAACTACCTGTTTAAAAGATAGAGAATAACAATAATTTTGAGTATTAGTGTTAGAGCCGCCTACTCAGCATATAAGTAGTACTTTAGTACGAAGGGAAGTCATCTTGATTAGCTCTGCTATTATGATGTTTCCTTCTCGACTAGTAAATAAATAATCTAGTCAAGGAAATGAAAATTATTGTTTATTGTTTCTCGTTAGCAGGGTCAGTGGTACTAGAGCTTAGCCATCCAGTGTGATGAGCATTTAAGTCACCAATAACAACAATATTCGTTGAGGGATAAAAATGCTCAGTCAATAATATTCCAAAATATCAAAAGCAGTGCAGTTTTGAGAAGAAGGAAAAAAATAAAGAACATTTTTTGATGTAGCCTCTATTTCATTTTATGACTGAAAAAACTCTTTTAATGTTTATAATATAGATATGCAAGCATTATGAGTACTGCTCTAATAATTCTCATGTAAAAATGTATTTTTTCAACATCTTTACTTCTAACAAGGCTGCAAGCAACTATTATTAGAGTTGTGAGTTACTGGAAGAGAAAAGATAAAGTTTATAGAGTAAGATAACGATTGACAGACAACTTAAAAGATTGCAAATTATATGAATCAGGAAAATCAGATGAAGAAAACGAAATTTAATAAATTTATCGTACTTTCAAGTAATTGTAATTGTATTAATTGAAATAAAATTATTATCCAAATTTAATTTCACATTAAGTTTTTGTGATGTTAAAAAAAATTAGGTAAATAGTTAGACTTGTATAACTCGTTATTTTTCTCTATAAAATAACTCTATTGTTATTTTCTCTTTTTGTTTTATGCGTCGATGGATTTTTTGGCACATTGCAAATAAATATTTATGATGATATATGTTTTATTTTATTTTATTAGATGAGTAAAATTTTAATGGAAAGAAAGAAAGAGGAGGTTGATGTCAAGCTATTAGTCTCTATATATGACACTGAAAGAAATACAAAAGCAAAGTTAAGAAAAGAAAAGCAGGTAAATCTGAATAAAATAAAGTTTATTTCTCATTCTTGAATCCACTTCAATTTTTTCCTATTCTAGTAAGTCTTTTATTATATTATATCCAAAATTGAAAAAGCTATATCCAAGACTAATTTTGCTTGAAAAGGTTATATCCGAGACTAATTTAGCTTGAAAAAGCTCAATGAACAATAAGCACCAGACTTTTAGAATGTAAGCCTAAAAAAATTTAAATATACTTATATATAGATAAAAAAAAACAAGATTTTTTTTTTTAGTTTCATCTTTCTTTGAATTAATTATTGTGAATTGTTTTCCATGCTCTAAACAGCCATGGTGGTTATATGGAGTTAAACAGTTACAGAGTTTTATTTTATTTTAAGTACTCACCAGTATTTGAGTATATTTCGCATCATCAATAAATTTTTGTATTTGTTTAACGAGAATCTTTAAAAAAGTTAGTCTTAGCTATCAAAAATTGACATATGTTTTTGATAAGATTCATAAAGAAAGAATACTATTTCTTTTTTTATGAATATTATCAAAGAAACACTGCACTTTTCTACCTATTATAAACTATGGATATACTCTAATGTTACTTTATTTAGAAATGCATACTGAAGCATTATTGCATACTGATCTGACATTTTATGCAGCACTTGATAAACAGTATACAGAAAATCTGGATTTTCTGGAAGTATCAGCTCATCAGTTTATCAATTAAGATATTTGGTGCCAATTATAAATTAGATGATTTAAATTTTTTAATTGCTTTAAATTAAAGAAATCTTTTTTAAAACAAGCATAAATTTTAATTGTTTGTGTTCAATATCTTTATGGATACTATCAAAATGATAAGTATGTTTCTACTTCTGCTCGTGATTTCCTGATGATGGTAACAAGCTAATAGTTTGATATATCATTGGTCATGTTATCATTGGTCATGTTATATCACTGGTCATGTTATATCATTGGTCATGTTATAACTTCGGTCATGTTATAACATTGGTCATGTTATAACTTTGTAGTAGTCTTATTATATCATTGGTCATGTTATATAATGACTTTTGAATGTTAATTTTTAAAACAATAAAAAAAGAAATTGTGATGTTTTTATTATTTAAAAAGATTTCATAATGAATTATGAAAATATTTTCATAATTCACTTTATAACTTTGCAAATATATGATTTTGGATTTTTACAACTAAAATTAAAAATAAATACACTTTGACATTATTTATATTACAAGTTTTACATAGTATATTACAAGTTTTATTCAAATATAATTATTTAAGTATATTACAAATTTTATTCAAATATATATGTAACTAGTTTCAATTTTAATATAGGGAGAGAAACAACCACTAACAGAAGATACCAAGCCAGATTCTGAACTTGATTATTTAGGACCCTTTTTGACAAAAATGGGTAATCCAGAATATTTAAAACAAAGTGATGCATTAAAGCTTAAGGAAGATTGTCTTAATTATCTAAAACAAAGACTTATTGATAAAGCAAATAAAATTCAAGAATGTTTTGAAAAGGTACTTTTCTAGCTATTTTTCAAACAACTTTTTTATTTTTCACTTACTATCCCATTCCCATATCCCATTCATTCTAGAACTATCATGTAGTTCATAACATTGTTTTTTTAAAAACTTACTTCACAACATTTTTTTGAACATACTAACTTTAAACTATTACATAGAAAAAAAAAAATCAAGAAAGTGCATTATAAGATAGTAAGATTTGAGGTCTGTGAAATCAATAGTATTGTTTTTGTTATGCGATGTTATAGTATTTGTGAAATAATATACTTTTTATTTAAAAAATTTGAAGAAAAATTAATTATCAGTTTCTCATACAATACTTCATAATTGATAACATTATCAAGTACTGCACAACTGCTTAATTTCAAATTGTTTGACTTTTAGGGTTAAAAAACAAAGACCAAGAACATTAATTATTCAAGCAAAAAATCTAATTTTACTTGTTTAAAATGATGCAATGCCTTGACTCTATTTTTTTACTTTTAAATGATGTAATGCCTTTGAGTCTATTTTTTACTTGTTTAAAATAATGTAATGCCTTGAGTCTATTTTTTTTACTTTTAAATGATGTAATGCCTTTGAGTCTATTTTTTTAAGATCATGTTAGCCAATAATAATTCAATTAATAAAATTGTTATATGTTATATGCTGCTGAATCATGATTAGATATGGAGCTGAATCTCTAAAGAAGTCATGAAGTGAAAACATACTGTCTTTCCATACCCAAACCCTTAGTTTATGATTTTACTGAAGCTCTCACCTGTTGCATTATTTTGACCAAAATACTCATATTATATCAAAAGTATTCATATTATTTCAATTCTTTGGCTCATTTTAATTCAGATTTTTATTTAAAATCCTAGTTTTGTATTATTCATAGTTTTGTCATGAGGCGTTAAAAAACAAAACTCAGAATTTTTTTTAAGTATATTTTACGGTTTGTATTTTACGGTATATATTTCGTCCTAGGAGACTAGTATTTTACAACAAAAACAAGCTGAATTTCAAGAAAAACAGAATAGCATGACTAAAGAAGAAGAAGAAGAATATTTGAACTTTTGTAAAAAAGTTATGTTTAAAATACACATTTTGGAGTTAAGATTAAACAGGTTTTATAATATTTTGTGTTCTAATTTTTGACATTCATTTAATTACTTTAATTATTGTTGTTTATTTGTACCATTTCAATATGTTAAGGTGGTAGACTGCTAAAAAAATTATTTTTGTATTTTACAATATTTCAATAAATTTTTTTACTTCGAACATGATAAATACATTAGAAATTTCATAATTTTAATTTTTTTTTTTTTTTTTTCATATATATTTTGGGTAAAGACAGATAATTTTAGGCCAAAAACAGGCTAAAATCTTGGCAAAGATATCTCAAAAAGTATAATTTATTAAGTTATAATTTTTTGTATTTTTATTTGTTTTATGTAGATAAATGTCCTGAGATGAAAATTTTTGTTGAAAATTTCTTTATTTTAAAGCATCGTTAGATTTTTCAAAGCGCCCAATTAATAATCGAATTTCTGATATTAAGAACAAAAAGTTTGTTGTTTTAAAAGTTTATATTCTAAATTTTTTTTATCTCAGGACATAAAGCTTATTATAATGAATCTCTGTACAAATTTTTAAGTCAAATGGACAATTACAGCTCCTACAATCTTTGACAGAAAATTAGAAGAATAAAACAGAGAAAAAAGCATATAAAATTAAAAATATTGAATATACAAACTTATAAAAATCCCCCTTTTTTATATACTGCTCTTCTTAATTTTTGTATTTTTTATCAAACTCTTTCCTAGTTGCTTTAAGATTTTTTCTTTGTTTTTTAATTTTTTTTATTACTAACCTTAACTAGCGGTAAATCACTTTTATTAGTTCTAAATTTTTTTTCTCATACGAAGATCTATATATTTTTAGACTCTACATCAGTTACTGTTTAAAACAATGCCACTTTTGAAAAATCACTTTTTTCTAACTTTTTTAGCAGTTTACTACCTTAAAAAAAGCCATACGGTTTCATAATTTGCATATTAAAACTACAAACTGCTTAACTGTTAGGCACAAAGAAATGGCCCCGCTTAAATATATGCGATTAGAAGAAAAGCTTCGCAGTGATCGACGTTTAGCAAAATTCATAGATTAAGTTATTCTACGAAAAATCTAATCTAATTTTCATTATTTTTTAGACAATTTTACTAATTTATTTGTAGTATATCTATACATTATAGAGTTATTTTTTAAAATATTTATATTACTTGGTTTATTATATTTTTAATATTTAATTGTTATTTTATATATATATATATGTATATATATATATATATATATATATATATATATATATATATATATATATATATATATATATATATATATATATATATATACATATATATACATATATATACATATATATATATATATATATATATATATATATATATATATATATATATATATATATATATATATATATATATATATATATATATATATATATATATATATATATATATATATATATGTATATATATATATCACATCTTTCTGCTACCATGCCTGCGATGCCGCACAATTAATTAAATTAAAAATGCGTAACTGGCGAAAACATTAACATTTTACATTTATTGTTTATCTCCATACAATATATAAAAGAGAAAAAAATGTACAAATGACTATATCAATATAAAATTATTCTCCTACATCTAGCATATCACTTTAGTGTAAATATTTTGATGAAGATTGAATTACGATTTTAACCATTTTTAATAATTTTTTTTAATATACTGTTAACTTGTTTGTCCCATTTTATTCTATGGCTGTTCCACTTTACTCCAACGACACAGTTCCTCTAAAGTCAAAAATAGTATATTATAAAATATATACTTTATCATAACCTGCTATCAATCTTCGCTAAGAAACCTAAATAAAAAAAAAGTTAAAAATAGATTCAAGTTAAACAATTAGAATAAAAAAAGTATAATTGTGAAATTTTTTTTTATTTTTTGTAATTCATTTAAAAGGTTTTTTTTAATAGGTAAAAAAAAAATCCTTGTGTGCCAGCCTCTTTAAACGCTTCGGCCCCGTAGCGGCTGTCTATGTTTGACATGGGTAAAGACGAGCCTGATCTTCTCATTAGTTTTTTTGATTTGAAAATCAGACATTTAAAAAAAAAGAGGAATCAGTGCCAAAAATGATGCTTTATTTGTTAAAACTTGTTTGGTGCAGTACATTTATCAAAAAGATATTAAAAAATATTTTTTTTTAATTTCCCACTTTCCCCCACTCTCATTTATAATATCTCAGTTATAATATAACCTACATCTCAGTTATAATATAAATTTACTATTTCATATTACTAATTGTTTATAAAAATTAAACACAAATTCTCGTCAAGACCCGAGCTGCGATATCAAATAATACGAAACGATACTAATGTAACCGATACTTTCGATACCAGTATCGTGTGATCTCGATACTGTAAGGTATCGCACCGATACCAGACAATAAATCGTAACTTAAAACCGATTATATAGTGTCTAGTAAATATACATGATTTTCAAATCAAAAAATCTTATGAGAAGAATACCGGAAAAGAATATTTTTTAAAGAATAATGGTGGACAGAAACGCCTGTGAGCTCAAGAAGTTCTTTTAATTGAAAATGTTCTTTTAAAAGAAATCAACGATTAATCATTTTGCTAAAATGAAATTAGCAAATTATGACTTTATAAAGTATGAAATGCCCTCAAATGGAGGGTTTACAAACTTTATGTCACAACTTTTGAGCGCACAAAAATTATTGCATGAATTTTAAAACTTAATGAATATAAATTTATTAAAGAATAGTACAGAAAATATTTTACCAACTTGTTAACTTTTTACTTTTGTTTCTTTTTTGTTAACTTGTTACTTTTGTTTCTTAATACTTTACCAACTTGTTGGTCTCAAGTTTGGGGCAAACTTGAGAGCAACTTTTTTCTCAGGCTCCAATCATCGCAATTGTTTTTTGAAAACTTTGTAAAAAAAATTGTGATGATTGCAGCAAAGCATTCTTTTCACGTATAAATGTTTGAAGGTTGTTTTTACCTACCAATAAAAGGCTATTTTTATTTTATAATTTTTTTTTTTTTTTAAGTACCCTAAGAAGTCCCTACGGTCTTATCACAGAGCACCGCGGATGAGCATTTAATCAGAAGTTCATGCCTCCCTCCTAACCCCTGGGGTTTGAACCACAGGGCCGACGACACGGGTTTCGAAGTAGTGGTGGGGGCATAATCGTCAGTTCTTAAGAACTAACGATTATGCCCCCACCCCTACTACACCCCTACACTTTTTTCTAAAGCATTTTTTTTTTAATAAGAAAATTCTAGATATAGAAGACTTTTTTAAGATCTTAAAAAAGTCTTCTATATCTAGAATTTTCTTATTAAAAAAAAAATGCTTTAGAAAAAAGTGGGGGGGGGGGCACATGTCCTTGGCCCCTCATCCCCATCTCCCCGGTGTCGTCAGCCTTGAACCACGGATCCTTTGTTTCTGAGGCAAGTGCGCTACCACTATTTTGTTATGGTGAAACCTAAAACTTAATACTCTAATTTAACTTTTAGGTCGCGTTCGCAATAATTACGGGAAGATGATAGCAATTTTTGTACCGACAGAAAGTTTGAAATCTTGAAATGTTTGGAGATGTGTAAACTTTTATTAGTACACCCCTGGATTCCTGTCATACCCATAATTACGGACCTGTAGAAAATAACTAAAGTTACCCAATATAAAATCGGAATCGAAAAATGAAGTTGGAAACATTTTTTAGTTTAATTTAAAAAAATAATCTTAAAACATCGGTAAGTAAGTAGGCGTGGACTTTCTTTCAAATGTTCTTTCGCGGTGCTCTGTGATAAGACCGTAAGATATCTAAAATAAAATTTTAAAAAGAAGTTCTCCCCGGCGGGGAATCGAACCCCGGTCTCCCGCGTGACAGGCGGGGATACTTACCACTATACTACCGAGGACGTAAACAACATAGCTTATTTAAATAATAATTTTATTTTTGTTTAACTTAAATCTTTAATTTATTAAAACATGGGTTTTGGCGAAAAAAAACAAACTTTTAAAGTTAAGTAAAAGCTATCCTTTTTTAAAAAATGCTTTTAAACTCATGGTTAAATAAAGGGGTATTAATTTGTCGCTAATTTACATCTCTACCCCCCTATTTTTATATTTGATTATGATACTCATCGTGAATTAAGAATCGTATAAAAACATAGGTCTGAAAATTAACAGAAAATGTTGTAATTCGATTTTGAAGTTTCAAAAATTACACTGAAAAACTCTAATATTTGTTTTCATACTCGATTATAATTAAAATCCTTTAAAAAAATGACTTTAAAAAGCCTGGTTTCTATCAACAATCTAAAGCAAAACTGTTAAAAAATGCGTACCTTATCATTTTTTTTATTGATTTCTGGGCCAAACTCTGTCCCAAATCATGTACGTTTAATCGCACCAATCCCTATTTGTCATTCGATGTATGTGCATACAGTTACGTCAATCCCTATTTGTATGTTCGTTCAATTAGATGTATGTACATTCAATTGCGCCAATCCCTATTTTTCAGTTAATGCATCTTCATTTAATAGTGCCAATCCATTTCATATGTACATTTAAATGCGCCAATTCATTTATCAGTCGATTTATGCACATTTAAAAAGCAATATCTTAAATTAATTTTTGAAAAATTAATAAAAAATACATTAATAAAAAATTTATCTTAATTTAAATATAATTTAATTTTGACAGCAATAAAAACCGGGTTGCATAATTAAAAAAAAGATTTTCTAAATGATCGATTTTTTAAATGTAAACTTAGGTGTAAAACGTTTTTAAAAAATGGCGAATGTTAGCGTTTTTTAGTGTAATTTTTTAAACTTCAACATCGAATTAGAACACTTTCTGTTGATTTTCAGACATATTTTTATACAATTCTTAATCAGGATAAAATTCTCTATCATAATCAAAAATAAAAATGTGTGGGGAGGGGGGGAGGAAATGTCAATTAGCCCCTATTAGTTTTTGAACAGAAGATAGACAACAACGAAGGAAAACTTTGTGGGCTGATAGTATGTAATTGCAGTTTGAAAGCTCTTTACTGTGACGACGGAGGCATCAATTTCTCAGGCTCCACGGTCTTTAGTGCAGTTTTATCAGCAGTAAGTTTTAAAGTTAAATGAAAGTAAAATGAAAGTAAAATATTTTTAATAAAAAATTACATAATTTATTTAACTTTTACTAGAAGGACTTTTTTCCATTTTTACAATTAATTAATACCATGTGTTCCACGGCAAGTTAATTTTATTTAGGTGCTCCAAGAAATCCTTACGGTCTTATCGCAAAACACCGCGGATAAGCATTTAATAAGGAGTTCACGCCTCCTTCCCAACCGCCACGGCTGCTGAATTGACAACATTATTAATAGCACATAAAGTTAGGGGCACGAAATCTTTCCATAAATTTCTTCTTAAAAATTCTGAATTGTGTAAATGATAGATTGTTGCTCTGAAATGTGAAAACTTTCTTCCATCTAAACACGACAAGAAATTTTAATGTAGGCCATATATGGCATTTGCATGCTAACCATATGCTTACCACTCTCCTTTATGGGATGGCGTTGATGCGTCGCATATGTGGCTATAATGTTTATCCCACTAAATAAGAACGAACGCCACGCTTCGTTTGTGCATGAAAGTTTTATGTGGCCCACGTGTGGGAAGCCATGTATTTGCCACTCTCCTTTTTAGCCATATACTTACCACACTCCTTTATGGGATGGCGTTGGTGCGTTTCATATGTGGTTTTAATGTTTATCCCTCTAAAAACACACTAAATAAGAATGAACGCCACACTTCGATTGCATAAAGAAGTCATATTTATTCCTTCACTCTTTTATCTATCAAATTATTATACCCTATATATTTTATCTATCGAATTATTATATCCTATCAGTTTGCATTATACGTTACCAAAAAAACACTTTGATAAACAAAATTATTATAAGAAGAATACATAAGACAAATATTGTAATTATACAAATGTTCCAAATCGCAAGATGATAACGCATTATTATAACGCATGATGGTATCGTGGTTTATCCTCCGCCAGCTAATTGCCTTGTGGAGGCCACATTACCAAGGTCTGCAGAGACTTAATTTCGGCTCCGAAGGGAGCGTCAAATCTCGTCTCTACAGTCCAAGAGTAAAGTGAGTTTGGG